GCAACCTCCAGCTCCTGGGCTTAGGTGATTCTCCCGCCTCAGCCTCCTGAGTAGCTGGGACCACAGGCATCCACCACAACGTCTGGCTATTTTTCTGTGGCAGTTTGGCCAGGGTCAGGTTTGAACCTGCCACCCTCAGTATATGGGGTCGGCGCCCTACCCATTGAGCCACGGGCACCACCCAAAGAATTTTTCAAAGAATTTTTTTACATAAATCATTCTGCCTTAGATAAGCCAGAGTCTTTCCTGGTGCAAAAAACATGTTATATCATGTATCTTAAGGTTTCACTTTTATTTTATAGGAGAAAGGAGTTAAGTGAGAAATGCCCACTTTCCATGAAAGTGCACACTTTTATTTAGTATTTGTTTGTATGTTTTTAAGAAAGAAGAAAAACATCTATTCACAATTGAAAAAAAATACGGTTATCTCTGTACTGTTAGTGCTATGCTTCCCAGAAAATAATGACACAGAGATGATTCTATGATGAAATGTTGAATGGTAATTGTATTAACAGCAATTACAGCGAAGTGTTCTCTTTTGGGTCATTGTGATCTCAAAACACAATTCAGGTCATAATTATTCCATAGTTTTCTTTTCTATTTTTGTGTCTAATATCTGGGTCACGACTGTGCTTTACTTCTTCAGCAATAGGTATTCATTTAGGTCTTTTTTTTCTCTATTGAAATAATCCTTTAAATGCAATACACTGATTTAAAATGTAATATTAAGCATAATATAAACTTGTAGTAGCTGTATTGAACTAGATACATGCTTTTAGAAACCACTTAAGAAATTCAGTTAAAATAAATTGATGTCCAGAAGATGAAAAGGAAGGTGAGGCCGCAGAGTCCCCGAAGAGATATTACAGCCCCACTGCGACCACGGCTCACTGTATCTGTGTTGTGCGTTTAGGAGGAGAGGAAGTCGGTGTAGAAACCTCGCCTTGCTGTGTTTGCACATTGAGAGCGTGTGCTGAGTGAAGATTGCCTCTAATCCGAGGGATCAACACACATGCGTTTAAAGCCGTGAATTGCATAGATTTGTTTTTCTCACACATACAAATGCGCATGTTGTGTTATATCTATGAAGTTATAAAAGAGGTGAGCATAATACTCAGCACTGGAGAGGGGAGGAACAAGCTTTGGAGTTATAATTATAAATTGAATACATTTGATTATTACTATAGAAGTTAGTGTGCCTACATTTTAAATAATAAATTCACCCCCCAAGAAATACAGACCTGGAATTATTCTTTTTTTTAACTATTGTTTAGAATCATTAAGGGTATAAAAAGATTAGGTTATACTGATTGCATTTGTTAGGTAAAGTCCATCTTATAACTGTGTCCTGCCTCTGGAATTCTTTTTGTTTTTAGTCTAGTTCTTTTGTGAAAAGCTTAAATGTTCAAACTGAAACCAAGAATTACGTCTAACATCCTAAGCACTTTCTCCAATAATAAATTCCTCTCTGACTATGTGCTGTCATGTCTCATTCATTAACCTCTCATAATATGTTTAGGAAAGTTTGGTTAAAATTCGCCAAATATGTAAATCATTACTCATCTCAGAAAATGTAATGTATAAGATTCCTCTTAGAATGTTAGACTAGTGATTTATCTCTGTCATATATATCTAGCCCATGTTCTCAATTGTTTAATTTCATTGGTGATATTAATAAACAGTAAATTTGAAGTTTACCTTGTCTCGCTCTGAAGCATACCATTTTAGCATGATATCATTCAAATATTCCAAAAAATCTCTTTTATAATCTGTGCCTAATGAAAGTCATGGCAGAACATTTTCACAGAGCATTTCTGACAGTGGAAACATGATTCTACAGACGGAATTCAGAGCAGAATGTTTGTTTATAAAAATACTGAATTCCTATCATCTCTAAGGAACTATGTAAAAACTGTGTCATTGATAAACTTAGCCCACGAAAAGAGAAAGGGTGTATGTACCAAGATATGAATAGATTAATAAGCAATAATAGGAATACAAATAAAGTTACACATTATTCACTTCTGAGCCATTTTCTTTTCAAGAAAGTCTTTTTACATCATGCGCATGCAACATAATTTAAGGGAAGGCAGGTGGACTCCAATGCTAGATTCCCTCACACTTGGAAGTGACTGTTCCAATAGCTGTAATGCTCTCAGTTTAATCAAAATAAATGAGGCTAATCAATTCATAGAGTTTTTTCTAGAACTCTGTAAAATAAAAGTAGCAGGGTTGTCTCATTCACATTAATAGAAAAAGAACCCCGTATGTCCTTATTATGTGTAGTCAGAGCACACCAGTCCCCCTAATTTGGCAAATGCAGGTTTGGCTTGACAGCTGTGCTTAGCACGACGTGTAATGCAGAGGCAGGCTGGACACCAGACCCCCCAACCACTTCTGTTTCTCTTCCCACCATGAAAGAATGGACTTTATTTATCGTAAAAAGATCAATATTGGTAGGCAATATAAAGAAATAAAGCAACTACTTAATGTGTTAAAAATGCCATATTGTCTAGTTTCTTCCTACACCAGCAACTAACTTGTATGCACTCTAAGTTGAAATAAAGAATGCGGCAGCTCTGTGGATGGTATAGAATTATTTAAATTGTGGTATTTAGAATGGGATGGAAAAGGTCTATTTTCAAGGCCTTCCTCTCACTGCTTAATAAACAAAAGGAACTTTTGTCAGGATATTGATAAAAAAGCAATCACAAGTTAAAATAATAGTAATTCTCTAAATTCCTTTTTGTCTTCATCTAAATGCTGTGTTATGTTGACAGATCTGGGAAATTTTAGTGGCCGGACCAGAAGTGCAGTCTCTGTGAGGGAAGGCCAGGGGGTTGTTCTGATGTGCTCTCCTCCGCCTCATTCGCCAGGTATGGTGGGTCCCGTTCTATCTTGCTGCTGCTGCCTTTTGCTCTGTGTTCATTCCTTTAGACGGTGTCTTAATAGGAGAACATTGCAGGTGAAATGTGCATGGTTTTCTTGACAGTACCAGCATAGCAGATGGGTAATTAAAGATCCTGTACTGAAACACGGTTGGACAGGAGACTGAACTCTTATGATAAGATTGTTTCTTTGCTGTTCTACCTGTTGACTGCCATGGTTATGCCTCTGCCCACAGGGGGGAGGAAGGGGGAGGAATACATTGCCTGGGGCACAAGGGAAGTGATAAACTGAGAGAATGAGAACCTTTCAGAACTGTCTGGAGTGTCAGAGTTGAGCTAACTGAATACCAATGTGCACCTTGTTAGAGAAGATAAGCTGGGGACTTGGTTGTTTATGGTGCTGTTTGCCACGCTGGAATAAAAACTACTAAGAAATGCTTTCTGAGTTTCAAACCAAGCTATAATTTACTAATTACACTTTCGCTACTTGAGCTCTTGCCTGTATCAGTCATGATGATAGGTAAGTACTTGGTGGAGTTTGGGGAAAACAGAATAGTAAACTGTACTCATATTAATTATAGGCCCTTTTGCCAACTCACAGCTAATTATATTCATTTTAAGGCCTATAATTTGAGATGAGAACCTCTTTGTACCTCAGTATAGTTTTTCTGTGATACAATTTAAGAGTGGCCAGCATCAATTATCTCTCTCACTTATCAATTAGAGAGAGATTGAGGGAGACAGAGAAAGAGAAAGAAGGCACCAAATAGGAAAGAAAGAACTTTCCTAACAACTGGAAAAAAGAGAATGCAAGATGCTGATATTTCAATCTTTTTTTCTTTATTTCACATGGCTTTCATATATGTTTCTACATTATATTATCAATGGAGCCCAACTTAGTTTTATTGTATATAATTCTTTTTTTTTTGCAGTTTTTGGCTGGGGCTGCGTTTAAACCTACCACCTCCGCATATGGGGCCAGCATCCTTCTCCTTTGAGCCACAGGCACCCAAAGCTTTTTTTTTTTTTTTTTTTTTTTGCTGTTTTTGGCCAGGGCTGGGTTTGACTCCGTCACCTCTGGTATATGGGGCCAGCGCTGTACTCCTTTGAGCCACAGGTGCCGCCCACCACCCTGTAATTCTTAACAAATATAACAAAAGGACCAAAATCAATTTCTTCAGGTTTTTCCCTTTAACTGACCCCTGTAAATTTGTATTTAATTGAAAGGAAGGTACACTACATTTTAACTGAGAAATAATTTTGAAAACATTTTATTCATAATTATGAATACTTTCTGAGTTACGTCTACCCAATTTCTGTAAGTCAATTCAGTTCCTCGGATCCTTCTGTGAGCGGTTCAGGACTTTCTTGCCTACATCTGATCAGATCTGCTTTCCTTCAAGGCAGCATGTGTTTTAACTGTTTTCATGGATATGACAAAAATTTATAGCATGATTAGAGATATCCTACAGCATTCAGTAAGTTATGTTTAATGTTGGGTATTACACAGACTTAGTTCAAAGGGTCATATTGGATAAAGTATTAGAGATTACAAAAAGGAAGGAGGAAGAGGAGGAGGAGAAGAAAACACGTGCTCTAGAAAGGGTGAGTGAGTCCATGAGCACAGTGGACAGGAGCTGGCCACATGGAATGACCCTTGTGGAAACAAGCTAGATTTTCTGAGATATAATCCAGATTGAAAAGCTGTTAGAACATATGTTTAAAAAAGTGAAAAAGGAGAGCATGATATCAAAAGCAAAGCTGCAAGATTACACACAGATAAATTGTTCAATTAGCTGAGGAAACTATACAGAGAATATTTCTGACACATATAGTACAACAATTTATGTACGTGATATGATAAACGTGAGAGAAGAACATGTATTCACAACTGATTAGATAAATGATAACGTGATGTCTCATATATTGGCTCCAATATATGCAAAGTAAGATGACGTCTCAACCATCTTGTTTTACAAACAACCTCAGCCACTTGATCGAGGCCACGCAATCTGCTTTACCAACAGCTTCGACCTCTGCATTGCCACACTTACAAGCACCTAGTCCATGACCAGTAGCTCTGTCCTTTGCTCACTCCTGGTCGTGCCCTGAGTCTAGGAGTTTTTTAATCTCACGGAAATTGACAAGCCATTGATCCTAAGTAGTCTTCACTCTACTTTCCTGCCTTGGATTCTCACTTTTCTCCTTCCATCATCATCATCATTTTCTCCCATACAGCATCGATTTCCTCATCCTCCTTTTGCTCCATCACTTGGAAATTTGACACTTGGAAAAAACCTATTCCTGTGTAGCCAACTCTTAGTCTATGCATTCTTGAACCTATTCAGCTTAGATGACTGTAAAAACAACCAAAACTCCACCCCAGAAAAAAAAAAAAAGAAACCACACACACACAACAAAACAAAACAAGTTACTAGACTGATCTCAATTTAAAATCCACACCATGAACTTGAAACTCACCCTAAGTTTCCAATGTGGCTTTCCCTCTTCTCTCTCTGCTGATAACTACGCCTCCTATTCCATTGTGAAAAGGAAAGCAGAAGATAAATTCCAAAGCTCTTATCATCATCACACACCCATTAGCATCTGCAGCTATGCACTCTAACTTCCCGCTTTTTAGCCTACTATAGTATAAGCACTCCTAAGACTAGTCCCTTAATTTGTTAGTTTAGTTCATCCTTTTTTGCCCACATATGCAAGTCTTTTAAACAATTCTCCTTCTCTCCTCTGCATTTTTACCACAAATGGTTTACTTTTCTGGATTAGTCCCATTTGCACACAGACTTGTTATTCTTTCCTCCATCTAAAAATGAAACATTGGAAAACTTCCCTGACACACGTCCTTTTTCAGATACTACCTCATTTTTCCAATCTCCTGTAAGCAAAACTCTTCAAAAGCTTTGTGTAGACATTCTCTATCCAATTCCATTCCTCTATCCAGTCTCCCTACCACTCTTTCTCCCTATGTGTGTGAGTGCCCTCCCGCCTCTAATTGCTCTCTAACAGATTTATTCAGTTGCAATTTGTAATCCATAAATTTCAAAGATTTAAGTGTGCGATTCAGTGAGTTACAATAAATTTATACAATCATATCTTTATCACCAAAATTGAACCTGAGGACACTTCCATCATTTCAAAGTCACTCAACCCCTCTCCCTCTTGCCTCCTTCATGTCCCAAGGCAATTACTGCTCTCGTTTCTGTCTACATAATTTCACCTTTTCTTGATAGCTCATTTTAAAGGAATAATACAGTGGACAAGCTATGTGTGTTCATGTGTGTGTGTATGTGTCTTTGGCTTTCTCTCTTTACTTAGTAGAACCTGTCTGAGATTTATGTAGGTAGCGTCATGTATCAGTAGTTTCTCACTGTATATTGATGAATGGTATTTTGTTTTAAGGACACATCATGTTGTGAATTCACTTCTAAGTTGATGAAGATTTGGTTGATTTTCAGTTCTCATGTTGTTCACTTCTTTCTCCATCAAACACTTTTCTTCATTTAACTTAAAAGATTGCATGCTCTTGGTTCTCCTCTTCTCTCAATTCATAGCCTCCTTTGAAGATTTGTCTCATCTCCTCAAACTCTCATTATAGTCCCCCAAATGTCAGTGCTTTGTCTTCTTTCATTAATAAATCCTCACTTCAGATCACTTGGAAAATTATTCCTAGAAGCCATAACGATTCATGTTATATGTATTTTCATTTTATGCAATTCCCAAGAAAGGTGAGGGCATTGTAGAACGCAACAAGAAAAAAACAGTCTGGCATCTCTTGACATTGAAGTGGAACAGGCAAACCATTTGTCAGATGAGGTCTGGAATAGGATCAGAAAGGGTAGACATTTGATTCCTGACCATGCATCAAGCCTTAGAATCATTCCTCATGTCTTACTTTCTCTACACTCTATGCGCACACCACCAGCAATTCTATTGATGAGGCCTCATTTTTTGCTTCCTAGACAACATGTTCTCACTCTGTCCTCAGTGGTGGAAGGGGCAGAGATCTCTTGGAGGCTTCATTTATAATCTCACGTGTGAGGGTTCCACTCTCAGGACTTGATCACCTACCAAAGGACCCACTTCTTAATACCTTGACTTTGGGAGTTAGGATTTCAACATATGAATTGGGGGGGGGCACAAATATTCA